GCCTACATATGCAAATTAACCGCCATCTTTGTTGGCAGTTAATTTGCATATCGCCCTGGTTAGCCAATGGGAAGCGTAGCGAAGGTACAGTCAATTACCCTTTTTGTCTTTTATTAGATAGGATTACACTTTGACTGGTTGAACGGCCAACCAGTTGACCGGACACAGCATATTAGGCTTTTACTATATAGGATTATTCTTGTTCTTACAGATGAGGCTGTGTGCGGGGGGGTGGGGGGTGGGGAGATGTCAACAGGGAGAAGGTAAATAACATACCCAATAATTCAAGTGGCTCATTTGGTCACAAATGTGTCTTTCCCCCTACATAATGGTAAAAACTTTAACACAAAATTAATTATCAACACAAACAGGCTCAGTGAGGCCAGTGCAGCATCAGGACCTCCTTCTCTCCCTCTCTGTCCCCAGTGCACCCTCTTTGGAAGGGCCCAGCCTCCAAGCCCGGGGGCTCCCGGCAGTCCCCCATCAACATCCGCTGGAGGGACAGTGTTTATGACCCGGGGCTGCACCCTCTCCGGGTCTCCTATGACGCCGCGGCCTGCCGCTACGCCTGGAACACCGGCTACCTCTTCCAGGTGGAATTTGACGACGCCATCGAGGGCGCAGGTGAGCCTGGAGTGGGATTTGAGGCTTTTCTCTTCTCCTGTCACATCCTAAGAGCGGGGTCAGGGACTTAGCAGAGAAGGGCCTGAGAGCCTTAAGTATGAAGTCTGGGGACAAGGAACAGCACGGTGGCGGCAGAAACAGGATGAATTCTCGATGGCTCTCTGCGGGGACAGGGATGCTTATGTTACAGATTATAATGCCAACCACACGGTTCTGCTGGGGACAAAACTATGAATGAAGTTAAGTCCCTTCCCTCTGGGTTACATTCCAGGGACTGGAGAGGAAGAAACTCTAAGCAAATGAAAACACAAATATATGGCCCATCAGAGAGGAAACCAGAGAAGGGCCGAGGAGGGGGCTTGGAAGGAGAGGAGGAGGGAATGGCGTCTGGAGCCTGGTCACCTCGCTGGGTCTTACTCAGGGGAGACGGGTGGCCAGCAGACACTGAGCTGGCTGAGGTTTTAAACGAACACCCAGCTGCCAGGAGGAAGGGAGCGGAGGGGGACGGGGTGGAGGTTGTCTGGGATGATGGAGGGCTGAGGGGCAGGTGGGCAGGGTGGCGGGAGAGAAGCCCCCAAAGCCACCGTCCCTTTCTGGGGCCCCGCGCTCCATGAACCAGCTCATTAAATCCTCGCCGGGATGCTCGGGAGTTAGGGATGGCTACTCCGTCAGGCTGGGGCTGCTCCTTCTACCTCCGAACTCGTCAGGATTGTAAGCTTGTTTATGCCGCACATCCGTGTTCTTTCTGGGAGTGGAGAGTATTTGTACATGCCAGGTGGAGGGTGCCCCTGTGACCAGCCCCCAGTGAAAACCTTGGGTACCAAGTCTCCCGTGGGCATCCCTGGTAGACAACACTTCGCCCGTGTTGTCACAGCTCATTGCTGGGGGGTCAGCGCGTCCCTGTGACTCCACCAGAGAGGACACTGGAAGCTGGCGCCTGGTCTCCGGTCATCACCGGGGGCACCTTTTCCCTTTGCAGATTCTATCTTGGATCCTCTCTCTGTAATAAATCCAACCCTCAGGGGCACTTCTCAGGTGCGATTCCCCAAATGCAAGGAATGAGAACCCTAACTCTGGCCAATATAAGCAAAGAGGAACTGCTCGGAAGGCTAGGCCTAGCTGGAAGAAGAGGAGGGAAGGTGGATACGCAGATCTTGGAAAGCACAGGAACCAGGCCAGCTCCGGGCTCCGGGAGCAGGGGTTCTGCATTTATTTACTTAGCACACCAACTGTTTTTCTGCCCTTGTTGGTCTGTTCCAAGTTCAAATTCCCAAGGAGCAACTAAAATGGGCTTTTCAGGAATATGGTTTGCATTAATTTTAAACATTTTATGCAGCCACTTGAAAAGATTAAATAAAGAATAATAGTTCCTGAACTTTTGCTTGGTTAATAGTTGTGTGATACATATTCTAATAAGACTGAGAAAAAAACAGATATGGATGTAGATGAGCTCATAATTTTCCTATATAATTTTTATGTGTAGCTATGAGTCTGGCTGATATCTATAAACAGATTTCTTTTCCTTTAAGTTTTAAAATATAAAAAAACTTTGAAGGTTACTTGGGACTTTTGTATGAATAGAGTTAAGATACATTTGAAAAAGTAATTCAGATTCCCATAGGGAAAGGTCTGGTGGCTGAGCTTGGCACTTACCCAGTTCTCGGTCAGTGGGGAACCCAGCACCCTGACCCATGTCCTCACCAAGACCACATGCTCAGGTGCTATTTCTAGAAGGGGAAGCTATGCTGTACAGACAAGCAAACACCCTCTTTAAAAAGCACCACTCTGACAGCACACAAACAGGCTCCACTGTGGGAGTGCTGGGGTCCTCATTCTATGCAAGAAGAAATGGAGGCTCGGAGGGAAGTGACTCATTAAGATCTAGTGGCAGGGAAGTAGGAGGGTCCTGGTTCAAGGCCAAGTCCTGCCGGTTCTAACGCCCCCCGCCAGTCGTTGACTGGCTCCTTCTCCTTGTCAGGGGCTTCACAAACTTAAATATTCCTTGTAACAGCCGAGTGAGACAAATATTATTCCCCATTTGACAGATGAGAACACAGGGCTCAGATCCACGGCAGGAGGTCACAGAGCCCGCACAGCGAGAGTCTCTGCTCTCCGCAGAAGGGAATTTCAGGAGCATGAATCCTCTGTGGAAGGAACCTGCAGCCGATGTCCACAGGGTTCAGGCAAGAGGCCAGAGGTGCTAACCGCACGCAGGGGAGGAAAGGGCTAGCACACGGGAGGAATGTGGTCCTGTCAGTCCCCAGGAGAGCCAGCAGCCAGCTCAGGGTCCAGGTGGGCTCCTGGCTCAAGCCCAGCCAAGCCGTGTCCAGCGTGCTCACCCCAGCAGGAGGGCCAGGGGCAGTGAGGTCAGCCTGGGCTCCTGTCTCTCACCTACCAGCAAGAAGACGCCCACACCCAGACCCTCCTGACAGGTGGAAGAGGGAATCTCCTCGGTGCTCCAAGGGCCCGATGGCTTATATTATATTTTTATTTGGGTGTCTCACAGCATGGGTGCCTTGGAGCCTAGTTGCTCCTGTGTCTCATGGGAGTTCAGGGTCAGAGTTTAGGATGGGAAACTAGACTATTACAGGTGACCATCATCCTCAGAATCACAAGTCAAGGCCTCTTTTTGGTCAAGAATTCCAGTGTGTCTTGAATTTTTACCCAAAGCTTGAATCATAGGAGTGGGCATGGCCAGTCCCAGCTACCTTTTCTCTAACTTCAGTGATTGGTTCAGGGGTGGGCATGTGACTCAAGCCAAGCCAATGAGAGCCAAAGAGTTTTTCTTGGAAATGTTAAAAAAAGAACCTCTCTTTCTGCTAAGGTTGTGCTGAGGCCAGCAGTAAGGCTGCATCTGTGAGTCTTCATGGCAGAGCAAAGTCAAGAGATGGATAACAATTGAGGCTGGAGGCCATTGTCAGAGCCTCTAACTGCAGATCTGCCTGGAGCCAAACCAGCTGCTGGACTATTCAATCTCTTTTTTGCCTCAGTCAGTTTGATTTATCTTTCAGTCACTGATTTTCAAGAGTCCTAATACAAGTAAACAAACAAAAAGTGACTAGATTAAGAGAGAAGAAATAGAAGGGAGGCAGCTGGAGAATCACCAGTTTCAGTCCTTTTAATCTTTGCTCAAATGTAATTCAGCTGTAGGCTGGGTCTGTGCAATGATCTGTTTAACTTGACCCAGAGAGATTATTAGTAAGAGCATCATGCTTTAAGACTCTCAGACCTATCTGGGAAGCCAGGTCCACGTAAACCTGGCCCTTCTGAGTACAGTGGGGCCTTGACTTACGAGTTTAATTCGTTCCGTGACGGAGCTCGTAACTCAAATTACTCGTATGTCAAATCTTAAAGTGAATGAGTGAGACACGTGATGCTGGGCTGATGTGGCGTTCACTGTGACGTTCACTGCGCCAACTAGCGGTGGGGTATCTGAAGCTGGCTCGTAACCCAAATTTTAGCTCGCAACTCAAAGCAAAAAATCGGCCGAGAGACGGCTGGTATCTCGAAAAACTCGTTAGTCGGGACACTCGTAAGTCAAGGCCCCACTGTATATGGAGTCCTGGTAAATGTTTAGCAACTGGCCTGCTGGGATGTGGGTTGTGGGATGGAGATGGGGGGACAAGAAGCCATAATTTGTAGTGTTTGCCACTTCCCGTGGTGTAAATACTCCTGCACTGCCCACCTATTTCAAGCTCCAGTGCAAAGTCATTGACATGATTTAGGAAGAGACGCACACAGTTCCCAGGAGCCGGTATGAGCTTGTCCCACATGTCACTCTCTTGTTCTTTCTTCTCTTCAGTCCCTGCTGCCTCAGATCTTATTTTTGCTCTCATTTTTGCAAGGCATTCATTGTATTGGTTAAGACTTCCTTTGTGTTGCATGTGGCAGAAACTCAACTCAAACTGGCTTAAGCAAAGAAGAGGAAAACTTATTGGATTAAATTCCCCTCTCGGCTCTGCTTTCCCCTAGTGGGTTCATTCCATTTCCCCTGGAATGGGGCAAGGATGGTGGCCCTGTAGACCCTCCCAAAAGAGCAGCACAAAGGGACAAGCCCATGTCTCTGTCCCAGCAACAGCAGCATCGGCCCCAGGGCTGGTTGCCATGGCCGCGCTTCGGTCACGCATTTTGGGTAAACCAATCACAGTGACTCTGTGATTCTCTGTGATTGGCTGCCTTGGAGCAAGGTGAGGTCAGAGTGGAGGACCACAGGGGTGCTTTCCCAGAAGTGAGGTGAGGCTGGAGAGGCGCAGTGCTGTCTCCACTGGGCCTGACATCCTTGCTCTTGACCCTGAGCTGACCTTGGCTCACCCCTTTTTCTCATTGCTCTCAAAGCCCAAGGCTTTTGCACCCATTATTGCAGCCAGGCCTCTACATTGACCTGGCCGTGACCCCCACATTTTGGCTCCTCCACCACCTTCTCAATCTGGTTCAAAGGGACCCCACCCTGCCACAGACCGAAAGAATTATCTGGGTCTCTCTCCCCGGCCACATAAATTAGTTGGATAATTCCCCCTGTGGCTCATGTCCACACAGGCCAATCTGGTTTTACTTTACTTGTTATTTTCTCCAAAACCCAGTTTCCCTCTTCTTTCTTTCCTACTCAATTTCCCAGGCTCCCACACCCATCTCTATAGCTCCCTTTCCAGCCTCTAGCCCCCACCTTTTCAGATGATCTGTCTTCTCCGTTCACCTCTATTGGATATCGGGAGCCGTGGGAGGAAAGGAAATGGAAAACACAGCTGAAAGACGGGAAGTACTAAAAAAAAAAAAAGTTTTGTAGCAAGAAATGGAGATTAATGAGATTCTCCCACAATTAAAAGAGAACAAACCCAGGATGTACTAAAAGGAAATGCTCCACGAGCAAGGGAGGAAGTGAGTGGAGAAGGCGCGCGGGGTAGAGTAATTCTGCATAAAATGTGATCCCTTAGGTTGGGTAACACCAACAGGCGGGAGCCAAAAACTCAAAGCGAAACACAACTGGGAGGCCAAGGACATTT